AGCTCATTTTCGCCATTTTCATGCGCTGAAAAGCCCAGATGTCGGTTCCTCAAGGCGAGAAGGCTCCAAAAAAGTAAAAACTGGAAACCGAAATCCTGCCGGTACAAGACCTCTGAGAAAATTTCACTCACACGTAACCTGCCCAGAGGTAACCAATAGTATGAAAACACTAAATAACCAGGTTAAATCTGACCTCGAGTGATCCGAACAATCGGCACCATTTTCTGGTCTTCGGAATCATCTTTGTCGCTGGATGTAAGGCTGCGATAAGAGCTAAGTTCCACTGAGTCCTAAATAGTTCCATTACGCGGACTGGCGATGGCAAGCCATTACCCAGAAGTGATGCTTTACAAACCTTGTACTGTAGCGCACCACGCGATTTGTCATCGAACTTTTGACGCTGATTATCGGCTGAAGTTCGGTCCATATTTTGACGCAGGAAAAGCTCTCTATCAGCAGATGCAAACGCTAATTGTCTCAATCCTGACACAAACTTCTCAGCATTACTTCTGAGATCGTCGCCCTCGCATCCACTGCGGAGAGCGAAGGAAAGACCAACCTTGAATTATTTAAACTGATTTAGACTCTGGAAGAGATAGAAGGAGACTCACCTGAGCTCTGAGTGACAGTCCATCTGGTACAAGAGAGCTATGCTTCAGGAGATCATTCTGAACCAAAAAAGTTGTGGCATCGCCGTTATCCAAGATTTCCCTGTTTGTTATAAGCGTGAATCCATCTCCCAACAATGGAGCATCTTCACCGTCGATGCTGACATTACCAATGAGACTGACATCTAAAGAACTTGTATCTACATATAGTAAAGTTTTCGACTTACACACTAGTACCTGCAGGCAAGATGTTCAGTATAAAATCCAAGGTAGAGCTGTTGAGATTCTCGGCTACAGCAAAAAGCACCAAAACTACTTCATTCCTTGCCGGTCTTCCGAATACAAGTCCACCAATTTGAGAATCTTGGTCACACCAACCTCGCAGATTGCGGTAATTCTGAAAGCAATACTGGGGTGCGAACTAAAATTTTGTAAAATAAAATCTAATAACAATCGCTAGTTTACCGCTGAATCCCACTTTTTCGAAAAAAAAATATATATGAATGAC